TTATTATTTTTTATTATAATTTACACATGCGCGATTGTTAAATTTTTATGAATTTTGAACTTATTTTACATATTTGTCATAAATAGATTTGCTTAAAAAGTTTAAATCTTAAAATTGAAAGAACACAATACATGTCAAAAGTTATTAGATGTAAATAATATTTAACGAGAAAAAAAACAAAATTAAAGAATAAATATAAGTTTCATAAATTATAAGCATTACAGAAAATTTAAAAATTACTTATACACATATGTGATATAGAATAATTAGAGAGAGAGAGAGAGAGTATGTGTGTGTGTTTTTCTAATATTAAAAAAATATTAAAGCTCGCGCTAACATCGTTGCCTCTAATAATATAAATTGCTATATAAATTGCACTCTCTTTCGGCACTGCTATTTTATCTCTTTTTTTTCGCAAATAAAGAGAAAATGTTATCATCGCATATCAACAAAATACATAACAACATACAACGCTTGTAATTATGAAATATATTTTTCTTTGAAAATCGCGTGTATTATTAATTTTACGGATATTATTATATTCGCGCACGCATATTTAATTCCTCGACGACATATATTCTTTTTAATCATGGATTATAAATAATTTTCCGTTCATTTATTATTATTATTGTTTTATGATTTATAAAACAAGCGAAGAAAGATACATCAAAATTTGCATGCATGTGCAATGTTCAGCAGCTTTAATTGGCACCATTATAAAAGTATATATTGTTGTAAAGAAAACAAGATTGACATATTTTAAATTTATGACATAAATATTTCATACAAAAAATTAACACGCATAATGATTAGAATTAGAAGAGTTACGTAAGTATCTCGTGTATTGCATATAATTAACTGAATAACCTATATAATTAAATACCAAATCTCATTTGCAATATTCAATATTTTACGTGGAGATTATTGAAAATTATTCGGCCATATAAAAAACAGATAAAAATATATGTGTTAATTCATCACCTCAAATTTACAATTTAAAATATAATATTTATGTTAATACACACATTACGTTAATACCTTAATTTGTGACTCTTGATGCAAAGCAAATTTAACAAATTTAAGATAAAAGACAAGAATCACATAAAATTAAAAATATTGATTTGAATGATATATATATATATATATATTTTATAAATATTGGTGTGTATATATAATAGGTTTGCATTGTGAACTAAGAGTTATTTATTGAAATAGAGACTTAGACCGGTTAGCCGAGACAATTCCCAAGCCGAAGGGCGCCATGCTCGAATTTGGCCTACCGAAATGGAAGATGATGCCTCTAGAACATAAGATACCTATGATACCCGGACCCAAGGATGCTTACAATTTCACACGATGTAAGGTAGGAAAGAATCTGTGGGAAATAGACGGACCGAGGATGGAGTTTGATCTGAATGATCCTTATTGCCATGAGAGCGGATTCTTCTATGAACCCCTGCACGATAAGCATCTACACGATTTTTTCTCTAGGCCGGCTAACTTGAAGTGTCTACTAAAAGCCGGTCTTATTACAGCCGATATGGACGTGAAATGTTCGCTGCGCGATTATAACACCTACAGAAAATATTTGAGAAAAGTATACACTGACCGTATCAGAAGGGAACTGAAAAAAAGAAATCGTTTATTCATCGAAAGGAGAGCCCTTTGTTTCGCCGAGGACCAAGCGCGTAAAGAAGCGAAAAGGTATATTTCATAATTGTTATGCAGCTAAAAAAAACATCACATTCTCTTAATTTCAAAGAATCAAATCTTTTTTCCAACAGAAAAAAATAATCCTCTGTCCTATGAAGGATGTTTCAAAACCATCAGATATTCTTTTAAAGACAGATTTAATCAACTTAGAATCGATTTTTTTTAGTGTAAATATCGAGACATCAATAATTTTCGAGTTATAGGCCAGTGAAAAAAAGAGCTTCTTACAAAGCAAAAGCAAAACATAGCAAACTATAGGAAGCTAAATAAATAACAAAACTACATTTTTTAATTATTTTCAAGTCAAATTTGTTTAGCAAAATTTTAATTTAAGATTTAATTACAAAGATATATATGATGTAAAAAAATAAAAAATTATAAAAAATGATCTTTATATATACGTTTATTATATTCCTCTCTAAAAAAAAAAAATCAATTCCAAATTATAATTAAGTAATCTGTCATCAAAAAGATATGTAATAGTTTTAAAACATTCTATTCTTTATTTGCATTAGAGAATATGCCAAGATGTATGATGAGAGTCTATTTTATCTTCTTTTTTTTATAATTATTGATATCTTTATTTATACATTATTTCTGTACGAATTTATAAGATAAACATATTTATTATAAATTTTTGTATGAAAATGTCAGATTAAAAGAAAGAGAGAAGTTAGCCAAAGATAGGCAGCGACGTGTGCAGCAGCGATTGTTACAAAAAGAATTAAGAATCCAGAAGCAAAGAGAAAGAGCGCGTAAAACGGAGCAAAGATTGCAGTTATTAAAGTTCATTAAGCAAGAAGAACAAAGACTGTTAAATATTAAGCGTAAAAAGCGGGCCGAGCAAACCCGGCAAAAATGCAAAATCGCGGCGGAGATTGCTCGACGCAAAGTAATCGATGTTTTGGTAGACTGGAAAAAAAAAGACAAGGGGCGAGAGAAAGCCAAAAACATGCGGCTAATAGACATTAAACAACAAAAGCAAAAAATCATAGAAGAAAGGTGTTTATATGTTATTTCTTTGATACATTATATATTATCAAATTATATATCCGTCAGAATATTCACAACATGATTTAGCAATTTTAGTTTAAATAGAATAATCTAGTAGAAAAAAAGCTCTACGGCAAAATTTTCACAGATGGAAAAAAAGACAGTACTTCCAAGAAAAGGATATTGCGAAACAAAAAACATTATTACAATGTATAGATATTCGCCGACAGAAATTTATACAGAATTATAATGACACAATCAATAAAGAAACCGCAAGAATGCAAAGTAAAGATCAAAGAAAAATATTCCAAAAATAATATATTTTTTATATATATCTCTCTCTTTAATAATAGAATTCAATAATAGTATTATCCATATTGCCAATACATAATTTACTGCACACACTTATTCATAAATTAAAAATTTTGAAATTGATATTATATTGCGAATAACATAATAGTAATGTCAGATTATCATCTAACACATACACACACACACACACACACACACACACACACACACACAAATCCATAAGATAAAATAAGCACACACACACACACACACACACACACACACACACACACACACACACACACACACACACACACACACACACACACACACACACACACACACACACACACACACACACACACACACACACACACACACACACACACACACACACACACACACACACACACACACACACACACACACACACACACACACACACACACACACACACACACACACACACACACACACACACACACACACACACACACACACACACACACACACACACACACACACACACACACACACACACACACAACCTATATAGTTTAATTGTATTATCTATAATATAATTTTGCGCAGGACTTTTGGATAATGCTAAGTTATTTACAAACTGTTACATTCAAAGATATTCACCAGATGGAAGAGAACGTATTTGCTGTAAGAAATATTTTGAGAGTAATAAGGTAAAAAACGCACAATATGTAAAATACTTTAAATAAGCAAAAATATCTTCTATTGAATGTTTTCCTAATTATATATCGCAGGATGGAAAAGAAGATGAACTAAGAAATAACTCTCAAACTTCGATAAATTTTATGTCACAATTTATAAAACAAAGAACACACAAGGTACGAAATCAATATTCTTAATTTGTTTTACTCAGTGCTTCAAACTTTAATATAAAAACTATTATTTCAAATAACAGTTAAATGCAAATAATAAATACCAAAATGCAATCCAAAAGGTTGAACATATTGCAAGCACAAATCGTAACAAGGTCAAATATCATGCACGGAAAAACAATTAAAAAATTGTGATACAAACAAAAATTATACATACATGTCATAAAGACAGAAAAATTTTATACGTCGTTAACAATTTTACGAGATAAATATCAGTACCGTTTCATTAAAACCAATAAACAGTAAGTTTGAAATTATATTATATATGTTAAATTATATTAACAATAGCCCAAAGCGTAACAACATTAGTGTGATGATAGAAAATGTTAGTATCTACAAATGGAATACCACAATTAAATAACTATTGTACTTACATCAATCGCTCTTTTAATAGCAGCACATAATGCTTGATATCCAGTTAGTTCATCAACTGTCCATTGCTTGGTATTCTTTGGATTCCAAAGTGCAAAATTCATGGTGTTTAATACAAATAGCCAATCCGCTGCCATGTGATCATATTTATCCGGATGATGATCACGTGTAAATCGCGACAAACTGTATAAGACTTCATCAACATTTCCCTTATGATGATTTTGAGATAAATAGCTCTTCAGCTATACAAATTAATAACAATATCACTAATCTGTAATATTTTCTTTGCAACGAAAACAAAGAACTCACAAAAATTGTATTTTAACTATAATAATAATTTATATTTTCAAATTTTTAATTACTACTTGACGATGAACAAAATAAAATAAAATAGTAAAATTAAAAATTGCCAGATTTTTCAAAATATTTGAGTTTTAATAAATCATATACGCGTGTGAATATCTGAATATTAAATATATGTATCGATACACATAGTATATGTTGCAATAATACCATTGAGAATGTAAAGATTATATATATGGGAAAATAAGATAAAAATGTAGAATACAATTGTTTTTGCAAGATCTTGTTTCTGAAAAAATCAATTTCAAATTTTATAAAAATTTTCTTTATTTAATATTCACATTTTTCTTTTTTTTTATTTAAAAAATTACTTGTATCACTTTTTATCCGCGAATACATCATTCAATATATCCATAATAAAATCTGTCAAATATGCACGCAATTTCTTTCTATTTCTTATGTCTTCTTTTTTTATGATTTCATTTATCGATCATATTCTATATCATGACACTCGAATTCATTTTCGAAACTGCGTGTTTAATTTAATCAAACTAAACTTTGATCTCAAATTTGGGTGCAAATTACTGGAACATTGTTGCGAATTGTTTTGAAATTTTTCAAAGAGAGAATATATATATGTGTGTATAAACTCACCTCCCACACCATATGACCTACATCTTTTGCGGAGATGAACACGTTGTTTGTATTAAAAGCGATCTCGTCCATTATAATTACGTTATGTTTTGCCAACCGTTTCAAATTGTTGACTGTAATTATCTTGCAATTACCTCAACAATCTCACAATTGCGATAAGAAAATACGAAGTCTATGTTTATATTTGAAAATCCGTTGACGCATCATCGCGCGAGTACCTTACGTACTATTTATATATTTACCTTTAAAATTCACTGCCAACTTTAGGTTTAAAAAAAGAGATACCAACTATTTAACTCTTTAACTTTTTATATTCTCGAAATAGTGTAAATAATGTGTGTTCTTTTAAGCTACATCTTCTATAAACTTTCCATTTTATTTCATTTTTTCCTAACTTTGAGCCTAAAGCTTTCTATCCACGATATTAGAACTCGGACAGAGTTCTCGTATCATAACAATGATCTTTTTATCCTGATTGGTCAATTAAAAGTTATTTTATCAGACGATAGATTTTCGAACGCAATCTCGGAGAACTCTAGACTGTTTTAGACAAAAAACTTTAGATATTGTCCTAGTTTACACCGATATACTTTAATACATACTAAATACTATACTGTCCAATCACAGCTGTTTCAAGGAATGACTATGATTGACCAATGTAATACTTAATACGTATTAAAGTATATCGGTGTAAACTAGACCAATGCAGACTTTGGGTGCGTTCCGTTTCACGCATTGAGCGCATAAATCGCCTGGAAATCTATAATATATGTAACGTGAACTATAGATTTCCAGGCGATCTATCCGCTCAATGTGTGAAACGGAACGCATCCTTTGTCTTATTACCTAAATCAAATTACAAATCAAATTACGTTTATTGTATTCTGAACAGTCGTTAACAAATAGTAAAGATTATTATTACACTCTCTCTACGAGTAGAAAAATTTATTAAATGATTTAAATAAGCCATTAAATAATTTATTAGTTTATTTAAATAAATCTCTTTTCAATTAGAAATTTAATTGATGTATACATGAAAAAATTTTATTATTAAGAAAAATAATCCCAAAATAGATGTTTTAACTAATTTGGCAAATATTTTAATATATATTTATTTAGAAAGCGCGCGCCCTTATGGAATGTTATAGCACAGGATCAAGATAAAATTTTTATTACAAATATTTCGTACATGAGGCCAGCTGCGGCATTGTGAATAACTTGTAGAAATAATATTTCACTTTTTGGTGAGTTTGAAGCACGCAGACTTATTTTCGATCCAGAATAGGATCTATCGTTTGACCACCGCAAATCTGTCCCCATCCGATCAGACGCCAATGCTTCTCTACGCGCCTAGATAGTGCAATCTTCTCGTCAATCTCCGTGCAAACCGGATTCGTCAAGCTAATTTTCGCCAAATCGGCGCGAGTAGCAAGTACTCTGCCGCCAGTGCTTAACGATCCAATATTTACTAGCAATACTTCTCCCCTTGATAGTTTCGGTACCTACGACGCCAACGAGATATTTATATAAAAAAAAATTTATTTACTTTTAAACAAAATGAGCATAATTTTAGGCAAAAAGTAAAGTTTCTCCTTCTTAAAAATGTATCCCACACAATATAATTATATATAATCAAAGTATTTCTTACACAACAAACAAATCTATATCAAAGTATATAACTATATAAATCTTATAACTTCAAAATTATTACAATAAGAGACAATTTTAATTTAAAACATTCCTAAAATCATGCAATTGCTTTCAGAGAAACAAATATTAATTTTAAAAATGCAGTAATGTAGATTTTCAATATCGTGCAAATAATTAGTAGACTTACTCTCGCGCCCTTCTTGTCACCCTCAGTTCTCACGCCCAGTAAACGTTTGAGCAGATAATACGAAATTTCTAGTTCGATAAATATTTGTGGTAATGCACCGACACTTCCAAGAATTTGGCCGACTAGACGATCAGCGCGACAAAGTGTAGGTTCGATTTTGGTTCCGACACCTTAAAATCACATATAAAATCTCTTTAGGATTATTCATCAACATTTGCTTAGATTTTGTTTATATTAGATTAATATTACATTAATAATGTGAATATTTATACAAATAAATATTACTTACCTATTAAACCACCTGGTACAGCAAATTGCAGTTCATTCTGTTCGGCAAACAGAGATACGATACGTGAAAATATCGGGCGACAAGTCAACTTACCCTCGCTGTCCTTGGATACCAATCCTGGACGAACTTCAATTTCCATGCCGACCTAAAAACTCATGATATTTATGATACATATTTCAGATATATATGTATCTTGTTTAACGATATTTAGCTTTATTATTACCTTTAGCACCCCCCTGAGAATACTACCGCCAGCTACGCCGCCCTTCAAGTCATCCACTTCGCATCCTGGTTTATTCACATCGAAAGATCGGATAACAATCAATCGCGGTTCTGATGTAAAATCTCTCATTGGGACCGGGATTTTTTTTGTAATGTATTCGCAGAGTACTTCAATATTATACTTGAGTTGCGCTGAAATCGGTATTATCGGTGCGCCTTCCGCTACCGTGCCTAATTTAAAGAAAATTATATAAACATGAAATATAAAACACAATTAATTTCTATTAAATTTAAAAAAAAAAATAGAAAATATTTAATATTTCTGTCAAATTATGATAATTTCAGAAATGCATAAAATGTATGCTCCAGATTTTATATAAATATAAAATTACGTAAAAAACATAACTGATTTTACATTGAGAAACAGTATAAATAATGACAAATAATTAGCACCTTGAATAAATTTCAAAATTTGCTCATATTGTTCTTTTGCTTGCGCTTCTTTCACCAAATCGATCTTGTTTTGTAAGATGACTATATGCTTCAGTTTCATAATTTCGATAGCCGCCAAGTGCTCCGATGTTTGGGGTTGCGGACATGATTCGTTACCAGCTGCAATTCGGAAGCTTATCAATCGAAAAAAAAATATTGGGAAACGAGACAATTCGATAAGAACAAGACAAAAAAATATTTAAATTATTTACCGATTAATAGTAAGGCGGCGTCCATAACAGCCGCTCCGTTGAGCATAGTTGCCATAAGAATATCGTGCCCAGGACAATCAACAAAGGAGACATGGCGAACCAACTGGAATCTTCCAGAGCAAACTGGACGCAAGCAGGGAAAGGAATCGTCTTTACTAGATCCACCGGATATATAGCGCCCTGGTCGAGGACATTTTGGATTTTCACATTCGTAAATCTTGGCATTTGCATATCCTGAAATAAGAAGAGGAGTTAAATATAATTTATTTCTTCCGAACTGTTCTCTGCCCTTTGCTCGTGAGAATTTCTCATGCAAAAAAAGACTTAAGCAAAAAAGGCTTAAGCTATATGTTATTCATTGATGTCTGAAATAAATTTAATGTCTTTGTGTATGTATGAATTAATAAGAATTTTATTATCCCAGATTTAATATTTAGTATTCAAAAGTACACATGTATAAAAAAAAAATTGCAAAAAATGTTTTTTAAGATTTTCTATATCTCTTACAATTTTTTTGCTTATCATCTAGATTCACCAGAAAAGACTTATTATATTGTTATAAAAAGTTTTAAATTAAAATAATTATATATGCATTACATTGAATTATCGAAATATTCTCAATTTACCATAGATATAAAAATATGTAAATAGATATAATATATAGAACGTCTTCGAAATAATCTAGCTAATCTTATATCGAAAGAACAAACGCTATAATTTGCCTCGTGTACATGTACTTTATTTCAAGTTCATCAACAACGATATTTGTATTAATCTTACAGAATATGCTTTCTTAACTGGCTATTTTGTTTGGTTTTCTTATACCGATAGGCCATCGACATATAAATAAAGTAATTTCATAACGTTTCGCGTGAAAAAACAACAGAATAATAATCGGTGAGTCTTTTTTAAATGAAGAAATTAGAGCGACATATATCTGGCACATATAAATTTTGAATTATATCCGAAATGTTGATGACATACAATTGAAAGATAATAATTTCTTTTTAATGAGCAACGTGTTCAAGTGTCGACCCTTTACATTCTGAAATAATCAAAGAGAATAATAAAAAGAGAAAAAAATCTAAAATTCTAATATAAAACAAGTTGTCACTATTTATAACTATTTATTACCGAAATAATTGTGCGATAATAGTTAGCTTTGTAGTTATGTAATATAACTATTTCAACTTTACTCTGTAATTTTCACTATATACTGATTATTATATATTAATAAATATTTATAATAAACTTAATACTTAAAGATGGGGGGTGTGTGTGTATACATACACATATATAAACATGCTGTTTTCCGATATTTTCTTAATATACATTTGATTGAACATCGTTGCATTAATTACAGATTTTTTTGGCACATCTTTTAATGTGAACTTTTAATTATAAAAGATCCATGTATATGTGTATGTGTGTATTTGGAAGGATTAAACACATTATCTAAATAATATAATACACCCCAAATTTTTTTTTTCTGAATGTAAAAGATCAACCCCCGCCGTTACGTCAATTTCAAATATCTTTACAAAGATTCCCTAATGACTTACAGTGTTGAAATTACTAAACTATTTATACAATATAGAGATAATCGAAAAAGTGCATTTTTTCGGAATAAAAATAAAATACAGTTTTTGCTTATGATATCGAATCACGTTTTACCAATGAATTTACATATCTATTCGGATGCAGCGTTGAGATTATGCAGTATCAAACATTCTTTCTCTTTATCATATAAATACTGCAATAAAAGTCGTAATCGCTTCTCACGGACAAATTAATAAATGCTAATTATGCGGATACAAGCAAAATAAATATGTTAATAGAAACTGTAACTTACAAGAATATAACGATATCAAGAGAGACGGTAGTATCTCACGCCAAGTTACGCGTAGCAACGCGAAACGCACCGTGTATCTATTACAATTAACGTGAATACCGAGACATCATTTATGTATCGATATGTTCTTAGCGTTTTATTATAGCAGTATTTCATTTCTCAATATATATGAATTATATCCTTACAAATGAGAGTGATTTAAATTTGCAGCATCTCTTGTCATCTAACCTTCGAGACAAAGACGTAGTGTTTTACATATTTTTTTTATTTTATTTCTTTAAATGTCTATAACATAAATGGAATTTATTAATATATTTAAAAGCTTTAATAATCGAATTTTCAGCTTTCCCCTGAAAGCTCTCTGACTGGAAAATACTGCAAAATTGGCATACCTAAAATAATATATATAAATGTACGCGCGCGCGCAGAAAGTATAAACGCACATACTCGTATTCTCCAAAAAAGTGAAAAACTGAAGCAGGAAAATGAAAAAACAATTTTTGTTGCATATTGCCTTCTTATACATTACTATTGTTCTAAATGATCATAAAAGGAGAATGCGAATTTTTATTCCACGCGTTTATGTTCACTTTTATACAATTAGCTGAGTATAAAAATAAGCATAGAATGTATTAAAACAAAACCACACAACAAACAGCTTTGTCGCACTCTTTCATAACAACTTTCAGTATATTCAAGAAACTTAACATTAATAACTATTAATTAGGTCAGTTAAAAAGTTCGGCTCTTTATGATACAGAACTTTATATGCATCTAAAACAGGCAACTATTGACCATTTCTATATATTATTATGATCTTTTGACGACGAATGAAGCTAAAATCTTCATCTGAAGATGTGATGCTGCCTGTATACAAAGGGGACTACAAATTGGAACTACAAAAACAAAAATCGAATCGAACTTTTTTATAATTAACCCAATATTTGATATGACAATAATCCGCATGACAAATTCATTTAACAAGCCGTAGTAATTGCAAATAAAATGTATAATACAATGAAATACAATAGTAACATCTTTGAAATGTCTTGTGTGTGTGTGTGTGTATGTGTGTGTGTGTGTGTGTGTTTCCACATTTTTTTCTTATTTCCCTCAAAGATTTTAAATAAAAAAATTGTTTGATTGTTACAGAATTGACTAATTAATTACAATCAAACTTTTTTATTTTTAACACATTGGACCAAATAATCTCTTTATTCTCTTACTATTATCCCTCAATCTATAGTTTAATAATATATATGCGAAATGAATTTTACATCCAATATCAAGTAGCAAATGTGAAATAACAAAGAATCAAAAAGAAAAAAAACTGAATTTAAAATATAATTAATAAAAAATTTCAGATTATTTGATCGAATTAATAAGATTATTTAATTGGATTACCTCGATCTATATTAACTAGTCTGAAGTGAATAATTCATTTCTTTCTCTCTTCGAATTATAATCGTTGCTAGCTCGGCAATATATACACGAAAAAAAAGTTGAGTTAATCAAAGATGGCATCAATTGAACCACATTGAGACAGGCAACTCGTAACAACTATATATTTCAAGAAGAAACATTCTTTAAAATAAATATCGCCGACACGTTGCGGCGCCGCATTTGCAGAGAGTCCTATTCTTCGAGATATCTTCGGCGTCCGCTTCGTTGTCCAGTAGCTGCTGCTGCATTTTATCATTACTGCCACGCGGCGTCTGGCACGTATAGTCAAAAGTGAGTTCCTCGTTCTGTTTAATGTCCTTAATGGCGAAGAGGGCGAGATTCGGTAAGTTCGGATCTAAACAATTGATCCAGATCGCATATACTGCGAGATTTGGATCGCATGAGTGATTAATAAAATGCGAGATGTTGCCGTACATGGCGGCATCTACAGTATATGGGCACTGGCCATCGGTCTCGTTGTAATCAAGATCGAAGAGATACGTACGACCGGTCATGTCGTATTGTTTGCCGCGTCTCTCAGCTTCTTCGCTACTGATCACTTCGCCCACATACTGAATGACAAAGGTGCCCTTCTTGATTGCGCGTAGAGTACGCACACCCCAACCGCGCCCGTTATCTGTGCGAAAGATGCACAGCTGTGTATCGCTGCCACGCTGCACCACACGATTCGGGCAAGTTAGTGCGTCGCAGGCGCAGCGCTTGTTGCATTCGTAGATAGGTGTACCGGGAGGGACGCGTACCCGGCATGCCGACGTATATGGCAATGATGATACGTCGTTCTGTGCGAAGCAGCAACCGGACTTTTTACCAGTCTCGCAACTGTCGCATTCGCAACCAATCGGCGGATCATCCGGTATTATAACACCCGCACCCGGCAAATAATTGTCGATGTAGTAAAAGTCCTGCGGCGCGCCCTCCAAGTCCACCAGATTTTCCACCCGTATTGTCGGTTTATTTTTCGTAATACTGTTCATCTCGTTCTCCCAGTCCTGCAACGACTCGAGTTGGTCACGTCGCAGCTCGAGCAGAAACATGTACAGGATTTGCTGCTTTATCTTTGTCTCCAACTTGCCACCACGCAATGGCCTGTTGAAATAGTGCTGAATCTCTTTGTACATACTGTCATCGGCAACGGCGGCAGAGGCAACGGATGTAGTGTCATTGATCGATATATTCTTGTACAATAATTGGGTCACAAGAAAGTCTTCGACGTCGCGCGCACTTGGGTAAAAGTTCGTCTTCGCTTTGAACCGGTTGATCAATTTCTGCCGTTTGTTCTCAAACTCACGCAGCAAATCCTCGCAATTGGTAAGATTGCGCAACGGCTCCCAGGTGTTGTACTCGATACCCCAGTTCTTCCACTTGATCAAATATAATGGCTCACCGTTCTTCTCGCGTTTCTGTATAATTCTCTCCACTTCCCAGAACTTGCTTGTCTGCTTGCTGGACGCGGAGGAGTTGCCGGGCGACATTATTGGTAATTCACAATTGTACTCGCTGTTCTTGATATCGTGCAACAGCACCCGTACCTCTTTCAGTTCGTAGTCGCGGGAAATCAGACTGTCATCTCGTGCGGACAATCTACCATCAGATGACGACTCCTCGTAATCGGACTGTCGGCCATCGCTACCTGGATCTCTCGTATTTCCGTTATGTAAATGAGGACAGACGTCGTATGCCTTGAGCGCCTGTTGCGTGATGATTCCTCGCCGCGCTTGCAGACGCTTCGATGATGTGGAGCGGAACGTATTTCTGTTGTCCAGCCGATGGGATATGTTGTTGTCGCGGCTCCCTGTGTCGACGAGTCTGGACTGCTTGGCGCATGGTGCGTTAATGCTTCCAACAGGGGAGAGATGTCGTTTTTGGTAAACAGCCGGCGTTTCACTATCTACGTTGCCGGGTATATCTGCTGATTTGCTGCTGCTACCGCAATCCACTGCGTCTGCAATGCCAAACATTTAAACAGCGTCATTGTTTCATCTTTCTTTCGTTTCCTTTTTTTTTTTTAGTTGTACGACCACTCTCCCCTTTTGCCTATTTTTCCTTTCCTTATATCTGTTTTTTTTCCATTTTCGCTTTTGTTCTCCTCAAAGTTCCTTTTCACTTTTTTTTTCTCGACATGCCGGACGAATAATAGCAACAAATAACACGGGGTTGCTTTGTTCATGCCATAATTATTGGTTCCGATTGAATGGTACATAACAGAGACAGCATATATAATTCTAATATCTTCAGATATCCGACTTTTCATCCTACTCACAGCTTCGAAAATTACGAAAAAATCAGAGGTTTTCATATTTGCACATTTGGCATAAAATCTATTTTTCTACTAAAGCACGTATGCGTATTGTTTCGATTTACATTTGACGAAAGATATAAAACACAAGCTCTCATGACAAATACCATATAAAATATCCATGTAAAAAAATTGCTAAATAATTTATTACAAGTATAAACTCCAAACATATATAATAATAAATAATGACGTAGATACGAATATCATAGACATACATAAATTAGTATTAGACTATGGGTCTGTTCTTTATAGCTGAACTGGCTGCACTAGCTCAGTTTATCTTTCTTCTTTCAATGTGGAGAGAAAAAGATAAACTCTGAACTAGTGCAGCCAGTTCAGCTATAAAAAAACAGATCCTATGTTAATATCACAATTGTTTATATGCCACAATTTTAATGTTAAATGCTGAAGAGATTAATGTATATATTGTAATGTATATAAAATAAAACCAAAATAAAACCAAATAGCAAAAGACCATAATATTCACATTTTGGAAATGTACATACATATTTTATCTTAAATAAACAATATAATATATTCTGTTATTAAAGCAAAAAGCAGTTTAATAATTTATGTGATTTTAATTATAATTGCATGCTTTTCTTTAAAATGTTAATTAATTTTTAATTGTTACAGTATAAAAATAATACTTACCTTTCTTATCTCAATTTTTCTCACAATTAAAAAAGAGGAAAAAACATTTTAAAATTTAATCAAAATGACTGCTCTCAACAATTGAGTGATTATATGATCATTTGATTATTTGATATGATAATCTTTTTTTTTACTACTTCAACCGTAATTAATATATAAAATCACCCCATTTCACCAAAATTCTTGAACATTTATCGACATTAAAAAAAAATTATTTACTAATTTTTTTTTTTCCGTGAGAATAAATGTTCACAAAGCATTTCTCATGTTTATAGTTGTGCATTTTCATAAAAAAATAAACTACCATAAAAATACTTTTACAAAAACACTCCAAAAAGTATATTTTTGCACAATCTGTTTGTATCAAATTAAAAAAATTGCACTACGCAATGGGAAAAAATATTCAATATATTTAAATGTACTCACCGAGTTTAATGGTGATATTTCTTTCTAGTTCATTCTTAAAACGAACAGTCTGCACTCCCGAAATGGCTTTTACGATTGTCGATTTTCCATGTGCTACATGTCCAATGGTACCTATAACAAGTTTAGATACTTATAATAGAAATATCAAAATAACATAGCATCAAACTTTACTTTAAAATAGAATTAAACTATACATTAATTAAACTTCAAATATTTAAAATCTTTTATACTCACCAATATTGATTGTAGCTTGTCTGCTGATCACCTCACGTGACAATGCAGTTAATTTACTAACATCCTATGTAAAACCAAAGAATAAACATTATCTTCTTAATAAAATACCAACAATATTTTGCAATACCAATCAAATTCAATTCAATTAAAATGATCTTAACATACTTTTATTGCTTTTTCTCTAATCTATTTCTCTAACATAGATACAAAAATCCAAAATAAAAAAATTAATTTCTTTACCTGATATCATAATTTAAACCAATAACATAGGAAAGAATATTTAAATCTAGAATTATATTATAAAGATATATCACAATATCAGGTGAAAATCTTTATTAATAATTTCTTGTTAAATAACTTCAAAACTATTATCATTTCAACATTTTTGTAAAGAAAAATTTAATTCGAAATTGATTAAAGATTTTATTGCTAAAGTTTGATTTGATATCTCAATCCCAACCAATCAATCCCATCACTGCATCATGTTACTGTATCGTGTAAAATAAAACGTTTGCACAAAATGCAGACAATATTAATAAAAAGTAAAAAAAATTCGCGGGAAAGAAAATATGCGATTGGCGTATGTTAAGATTGAGAGAGAAATATATGATCTATTATTGTAAATAGTACAGTGAATAATAAATAGAACAATTGGTTGCCTCTTTCCGAATAACAATTTTATACATAATATATAGAGACAAAAAATTAATTTCGTTGGCTTAATTCAACTAACAGCATAAAAATCTCAACCGCAGTTTACGCCATTAAATTCTTCACAAGACAAAATCTTGAGATGAGAACTATTTTTCCTCTCTTTGTATGGAAAACCGTTATGCGAGTTTGATTTACAATACTTATGAGAAAAAAAAAAGATAATTTTTTCGGATACATATATATATATATAAATAAGTCAAATATCGTCGTCCGGACGAATCAGTATGCTGAGAAAAAACGAGGTTAAATGGGCGGGCGCGAATTGACGCGGCGCGCAAACGATCATCGTCAAGACTTACGAGTTTCGACAGGTCCTGTTTGTAGAGATTCGGCTGGCCGGTGGTAACACCCAGTCCTTCCTCGCCGCCCATTTTCCGCTTCTATATCAGCAGTGACCAGTATATAGAGTTACAGGTACGAATACTCGCAACTTAACTCTTCAGTTTTAGAAAGGTGCAGAAAACCGAGAGATTCAGCCAACGACTCCAATCGCGATGAGGGTGAAACGTGAAACCGCGCCAGCGCGGCGTGCTCGGTCGGATGCTCTGTCGATTTGCGCGACGGTTTATACTCTTTCGCGATTGGTGGATTTTTTGCTCCGTGTTTATAATGGCCGCGTTCAGCAGAGAAAACCGCTTAGTAGCAATCGAATATGATTGGTACTTACTTTTAGAACCAACGAATCAACGTCAAGTGTTGACAAGACGATAACTGAGCGCTTTCTCTGCTGAACGCGGCCAATGTTCGCCTTAAATTATATCCGTCGATATATCGAACCTCGAAGAGTCTGTTGAAAATAAACCCTTATGACACTTATGACAGTATCAAACTTTGACCGTGGCCGTGTTCCAAAATTCACTGCTAGTATTGAAAATCTATAATATACGTTACGTGAACAATAAATTTTCAATACTGGCAGTGAATTTTGGATTACAACCTTTATTTATTATGTACATATTCACATATATGTTCATATTGCAAGCTGAATGTACTGCATTATTTGCCTACACATTCTTATTTTATTCATAATTTATTAATTTCATATAGATTATGCAGAGAATTTTTATATGATTATATGGAATTTTTATTATATAATGGGACACATATAACTTATATTTTATTGAAACGTGCGATTTTTTTTAATTTGATCGATTTATTGAACAGCTTGGACATATAAATAATGTTAAATTTGTAAAGTTCTTGGTGTTCGTGATCGAACACCATCCAAGTCGATCGAGAATTTCATCTTTCGCCAGCATAACGAACTTTTCTCCTCTCGTTTTTCTTCTTTTTCCAACAATACATTCTCATTCTATTTGCCTGCACTAGAAATTGAGAAACTAATTATCCTCCAGGATATTCTTATTCCAAAGCTGCGGCACCGGAAATAATTTCAATCAATTCTCTAGTGATCACAGCCTGCCGAGTGCGATTGAAAGTGAGAGTGAGTTTGTCAATCATCTCGCCGGCGTTCTTGGTGGCATTGTCCATCGCTGTCATACGACTGGATTGTTCGCTGCAAGCACCTTCTTTCATTGAATAAAACAACAATGAGGCAAGCGAGAACTCCAAATAGCTTTGTATCACCTCCTCGTCAAGTGAGTCGTACACTGATAGCTTTGGTGCGGTAACCACCGTGTTTTTATCGAACAGTGGCAAATCATTAACCGCATATGACACCACAGATTTAAATTTGTTGTACACTATACGTCCGGAACCAAAGGAATAACTGCAAAAAAGTAATATGGTTATAATCCATCATACTCGTACAGTGTGCTTTATCTTTAACGAAATTTAACAATCCACAAATACATGCTCTACATATCCAAAACAAAAAAATTCAAATAATCAAATCACAAATATTTAAATAGTAATATATAAGTTAGGTATAATATATATATATATATATATATATATAGAGTGAATAATATATTATAGCACTGAAAATTAACTGTTTAAATAGTAATTTAATAATTATTACAAGTTATCTATTGAAATAATTATTATTTAATTATTTACGCTATATAACGTGTTTGGATTTATATATTTGACTGAGTTGAACATACCCACTATTCATTACTTCTATCGCTATTTTGGCTGCATCGTTGAATGTCGGCGGCTTACGGCCAACCTCGGATGCGACAAAAAGTATATTGTTCGCAAATAGTCGTTGCAGGATCGCCCGGGATTTTTCACCGATGCATATAATCTTTGTGTTCTCGCGTTCCTTGGGATCAGCCAGCAACCGATCGCGAATGTTACGAGATACCCCAGTGTGCACGGCGCCGCATAGACCACGATCGCTAGTCACGGCAATGACGAGCTTTTTCGGATCCTCTGGTGGCGCTTGGATCTCAGCCTGTTCGTAAAACGTCTTTGTGCCAACGCCGAGAGGACGAGCCTGCCTCAAGTCACGTTCTGCACGATTGTACTTGGCGGCCGACACCATCTTCATGGATTGCGTGATCTTTTGGATATTCTTGACTGACTTTAGACGCAAAGAGATAGTCTTGAGAGTGGCCATTCCTCTCTGTGGTTGCCATTGCTGATCCTGCGCAGCCAACCGCAGGATTGTTGACAGACGATTGCTGAACATTGTTGTTGGATATTGGACCCCTATAAGTTTAAATTTTTAGAGATTAATTGATATTTTTCAAACCATAACTAACAATCATTACAATTCTTTTGCTACCAGTTGCAAAATATATTATATATTTAACACTATTATTTTTGAAACAGGATATTCAAATATCCTACATAATGCTAATTTTCAATTCTTATACTAAATTTTATGATAAAAATATCTTATCTCGTGCTACTTTCAGCATCATTTACAGATAATTAAAATGTAGAATTCAATTTATTGTCATTCTGTAAAAAATTAACACAGTAATTAGAAATGTATTGAAAAACCATGACATACAAGAGTACTAATATTGCATGTGAGTAGTCTTATGACAAAATAATCTATGCAAATGACAATTTTTTATAAATAATAAATATGTTGCATAAAAAAGTATTATAAGAAAAAATTGTTGGCTTTTTATACATCTAGTCATATATCTCTCCGTTTATAAAATATATCTTTTTTCTAACTCATAATTTTTTGCTGATAAAGTAATCATAATATGCAAACTTGAATATAATCGATTTAAATTTATAATTACAATAATATGTGTTTGACAAACTTTGACAATATAATGGACAATTTTAAACACGGCACACACAGTATCACTATCATTTACATAATAGCAGGGAGGGCTGGTCAGGGAATGTGCACACATACGAATAAATCCTCAGCTCATTCTCACAGAATATCAGATCGAGTACGTGACACAAATATTTCGGGAGCAGCTTGGAACGAGCAATGCAAACAAATCGACTCACCACTGGTTCCGAAAATAATTTCCACGAAATCACAAAAAGCTCTTCGCTTCCGTATGCGGAAACCCACGAAGGAGATCCGTGCACACGTAACGCAATCGTAAGGCGAATTCGCAATTACCGAGGAAGATCCGCGCGTCATCTGTAAGCAGTGAACGTCACTATCGATAAGAAAAAGTGGTATAGATCTATGTACGATTTATATTTCATGCTTATATTATTATTGGAAATTTTATTGTATGAAAAGAAAAATATATATGAAAAAAGATAATTATTTTGGATCTTTGACTATATAGTTAAAGTTCTGGATATTCATGTATCGTAACAGATCTTTCTACAAATTGCCAATGGATTTTTGAGAGATTTCTAATGTTATAATTTTTTCATAGTTTGTATCTATAACATGGGTTAACCAAATTTTTTTTAGAAAATTTATATATATTAAGAAAATTAAGAACATTAATAAAATATAAATTTAAAAATAGAGAAAGATACAAATATCGATTTTCAAATATTACATTGACAAGGCATTCCTAGGAGTAGAGAGACAGGAATTTGCAAATACTTTTTTTTTTTTTTTTTTTTTTTTTTTTAATAGATGATAAAACGTCATCTATAATCATATCATAGCGTATACAATATATCTATATATGAACTATATGTATTAGAAGAGAGCAATAACTCAAAATAGATCGAGTGGTGGAGTTTCTGCCCAAAGTTTTTCCCTCTCACCATTCCTATACTGACGGTATCGCTCTTGCTCCATCACTTCAATGCGATGTAATCTTTTTGTTTTCATCACACATTCATACATATCTTCCAATATCAATCTGCATTCTTTCTTGCCCCTGTGATAACCGTACGCTTCCATACAATCGACATATTGTAGCTCATACTGTGCACACTCCTTGAGACATTGAAGATTTCGTACATTAGCCAAGAAATCTGTAACAGGTCCCTTAAACAAAGGCGCGCCCCATTTTAATCCAGTGATATTCTCGTGATTTAGCATAATGTACCTGAAAAGAGCAGAATTAAGAAATATGCAATGCATAACATACCACTTGACATATACGTCATTCAAGATATATCTTGGATATAATTTTTATTATGAACATTCTCTCGAACCAAGAAGCCTAATAAATTTTCAAGAGATACAGAGATTTCTCGATTTCAACCTTCTTTGTCGAACAATAATACATAATTTAAGTATTTATAATGATTTAATAAAGGATGACAGAAGAAAAACATAATAGCACTCTTATCTATAAATGTAATACATATATATATTTCGTAATTTATAATGTTATATAGTAATTATTGTTTTTATCGCGCATGTAAAAACGAGAATCCGTACAGTATTACTTACCAATGACATACATAAAACCTCGAGCTTTCAATTATTTGTTTTCAATCACCTGAATAATTTGGTTATATAATTGTGTCAACCATAGATACTAATATACATAGATACAAATACACATACCTTTTGGTATTACAAATGCTTCGAAATATTCAATCGAGACAACGAAATCTTTGTCCTGATTGTGAAGTGCATTTCATTTGACGCTATCTCTGTTTCGAAATGTTTGATGGACCAATCAGGGCAAAGAATCTTGCGCTTCGAAGCGAAAATAGTGTCAAACGGAGTGCATCTCTGATTTGTCAATCAAACGGTTCGTAGCATTTGTAACGCCAATTACTGATTGGCTGACTGCCATTTGTGTCCGATTTAAAGGCCGGTATTCATAGTCAGTTCTTATATTTAAGACCGTCTTAAGCACAATCTTAAGATGTCCTAAACCAATCACAGAGCCGTATTAGCATCTTAAGACATTACTTAAGACGGTCTTGAAATAAGAACTGACTATGAATACCGGCCTAAGTGTCGATTACGCCGGTTTTTCTTTCCCATGTTACGCTAGTAGTGCGGATTGACCTGTACAGATTTGTATACTATTGTATACTACAGTAAGTGATGTGAATTGAATTGAAGTCACGTCGATTTGGATCGAGAATAATTCACGAGAATAATTGTAAGTCTCGTCTCTCACACACGGATTTGCACACGGTCTCTTTGATCTCGCTGGATCCGAGAATATGCAGAAAGTGGGCAAATTGAACTCGTCAATCGATATCATTCCGCTACAAGGATCGAGTGGTGATTACAGGTCGAGGCACATGGACAATAAGCACAGAATGGACCAGAGATGTTTCCGGGATCAAACGTTGATCGCACGCGTGCAAACGGTAACATGTCACACGAGATTATTAATTTCGATTGTTTCTTTGACGAAATTATGATATATCTGTCACGTACACAAAATGCGCGAATGTTATATCGATAGCTCTATGTTCTTCGAATATACGAACGCGATGATTATTTAGGAAAATTCAATTTTTATATCACTGCAACTATATCTAATTTGAAGCGTTTTGCAGTATATGCATGAAAATGAAAATAAGGTGTACATTGATGTCAATGAGATGGCAGATGCATTGCAGAGGCGATACAGAGACTATCGTAATAAAAAACGTGCTGCATTTCGTGGGATGGTACGTAAGGCTTACGATGAGCTTACAGAAATATTTGCAAAGAAGCCTCCGATACGCGAATCCCCTGCATATGACGACGACGATTTTGAGGATGTTGATGTCGAGGTATTTAAATATATTGCTTAAATGTTACATCTATACAAGTATAATATTTTTAACAAAACTATTCAATTTTAGTCAGAGATGCAACAGACTTCAATAAGTGACATGCTAATACATATGTATAAGAAACAGAATGGAAACTCGAGTGATAAAGAATTGATAGACATTAGTAGCGATGATGATATATCTAAAAATGAATCTAAAGCTGATAAAGAGACAAAGGCACTCGATGTATGTAATGTAGTAGATGAATCTTCGCACACACCTTCAATGATTACTCCAAAATCAGAAACAGCTACTGAAAAGCCAGAAACATCTACCTCAAATCCTGAACCATCTGTTTCAAAGCCAGAAATGCATGCCTCAAAACCAGAAACATTAGCTTCAAAATCAGAAATACCTGTGAAATCAAAAACAGTATGTGTATTTATATATGATTTCATGATTAAGAGGATGCCGGACCGTCCTGTTTTACCGGCCATAATAATTATATATTTGCTTAATATAAGGGTTTTGCGGTGTGTACGTGCAAAATAGGATACCTCTCCACTCGGAAATGCATGAAGGAATATAAGTGAACGTTTGAAAATGTATTTGAAAGCCTAGTAAGAAACATTTCGGTGTGCAAAATGTTGCATAGTAAAATCTTTTTTATAAAGCTTCTAAACTCACCTCTCGAAGTTCACTAATACTTTTTGATAAAATGCCGAGTGCGGAGTTCACTTGTTAGGCACGTGCAAGTTGCAGGTTTTTTATATTAAGTAAATGTTGACAGCAGAAGCCGATAACAAAACTGTAATTTTTTAATTTTTTTTCACTTTTCATATGAAATCATAAACCCCGCACTCCGTTATTATGTATACTTTAATTATGGAAAAGGATTTGTTGATATCTATAATCAACAAAAATATTTTGCAATCCTACTAATATTCGCATTCTGTCGGTATCCGGCATCCTCTTAAGATTTTAGATTGCTAACAATAAGTTATAAGCAATAATAGATTAAAAGATAAAATATATATTTATCCTATATTTATATCTATCTGTCGCTGTTACTTTTCAGCCTGTGAATGAGATAACAAAACAATATAATGAGATAACAAAAGTACTAGTAGAATCTACAAGAAAACGACAAAGAGACAAAGAAAATGATAATGGACAGTTCTCAGTTACGAAAAAGGCAAGAACTATACCTGTCACAGAACCAAAAATTACATTTTCTGATGTAGGAGGTAATGACAAAATTTTAAAAACTGTCTGCAAATTACTGGCCCACATGAAACATCCCGAAATCTTCAAACAGCTTGGTATATCTCCACTAAGGGGATTCTTACTTCATGGACCTCCTGGATGTGGGAAAACATTATTGGCATATGCAGTTGCGGGAGTAAGATAATATTTAATTCTAGAAAATTTCTAATATATGTTACAAATAGAATTATCTATTTAAGTTATTATAATGAATAAAACAATACATTCATAATATTCTGTAGATATTGTAAAAGTTTTAGAAGTTGTATTTTTGTTTCTCTATATCTGTTTCTCTTTCTCTCTCTTTCTCTTTTTCTCTTTCTCTTTTTCATATGCAGAAAAGTAGTTCTCTCTCATAATAATATTTTGTGTCCTTTTTATTAGGAATTAAATATACCTCTACTAAAAGTAGCAGGTCCAGAGCTTGTGGCTGGAGTATCTGGTGAGAGTGAAGCTCGTATTAGAGACTTATTTGAGCAAGCTTTAACTCTTGCACCATGTGTTGTTTTCTTGGATGAAATAGATGCTGTTGCACCACATAGAGCTACAGCTCAAAGAGAGATGGAAAGAAGAATTGTTGCACAATTATTGTCAAGCTTAGATGGTAAAATACTATTGATTCATATTGTCATTATATTTTCTATTTTCTATATCGGTCTTTATAAAGCACAATTACAACTTTTCCTTTCTTTCTATTAGAATTGAATCTAAAGGAAAATGGAGATAGAGTATTGGTAATTGGAGCGACAAATCGACCTGATTCATTAGATCCTGCTTTAAGAAGAGCAGGACGTTTTGATCGTGAAGTGTGCCTCGGAATACCAGACAGAGAGGCAAGAGCTAAGATCCTAGCAGTACATACTGAAAACGTTGTACTGGCTCCTAATATTAGTTTGTCGACAATAGCTTCCCTTACTCCAGGTTTTGTAGGTGCAGATTTGGTTGCCTTAATTAGAGAAGCTGCTATGGCTGCTGTAGATAGGTAAATCTTTAAAAATGATTTTAATCATGTGCATATATGTATAATATAAATACATATATAAAATTTTATAGAGTATTCGAGGATTTAAATAGATCAAAACAGACAGAAAAATTGCCAGAAATAACCGAAACTGATAAGCAATTTGAAAAGAAAACACAGGAAAACTTGGAAAATTTAGTTGATACTAATATTACAACAGAAGCTTCTACTGCAATAGAAGACACTTCTACGTACCTGAGAGACTCACCTAAAAATCCAAGCTCAGAAACTACCGAAATGGATGTAATACAAGAACATTCGTCGGATTTTTCAAGCTTACTGGCTTGGTTGCGTAGCGAACCTCCACTTTCCCCAGAGCGTTTGTCAACCTTATGCATTGAGCATGGTGATTTTGAAATTGCTTTACGCGTTGTTCAACCTTCAGCAAAAAGGGAAGGATTTGCAACAGTTCCCGATGTAACATGGGATGATGTTGGCTCACTGCAAGATATACGACAGGAATTACAAATGGCAATTCTTGTAAATATCAATATAAAATTTTATATTTGATATTTTATACCTTTAAAATTTTCATAGTTATTTATTTTAGTACCGTATTTTCGGCATATATTTAGATATAATTACTTATATTGCAGGCTCCTGTTAAGCATACTGAACACTTTAATGCATTAGGTTTATCTGCTGCTAGTGGAGTATTATTATGTGGTCCACCTGGTTGTGGAAAAACATTATTGGCCAAAGCCATTGCTAATGAAGCTGGAATTAATTTTATTTCCGTTAAAGGACCTGAACTTTTGAACATGGTAAGTTTATCATAGTAAGGAGAATGTAAGGGAGCTAATGATTTTGTTTTATATTTTTAGTATGTTGGCGAAAGTGAGAAAGCAGTTCGTCAATGTTTCTTAAGAGCAAAAAATTCGGTGCCGTGCGTCATATTTTTCGACGAAATAGATGCGTTATGTCCTAAGAGAACAGAAGGCGATAATTCCGCAACATCACGTGTCGTAAATCAAATGCTTACAGAAATGGACGGTGTGGAGAGTCGACAAGGAGTATTTCTGATGGCCGCTAGTAATCGTCCTGACATTATAGATTCAGCTGTTTTGCGACCAGGAAGATTAGACAAAATTTTATATGTTGGTCTTCCGACAGCATCAGATCGGGTTGATATTTTACGTGCAATAACAAAGGTATTTACATATATTTATATACTTTATATATGTATATATAAAACATACAAAGAAATATTTTACTGTATTAAATAATTTATATTTTCTCTCCTATGCAACCTATTGTAGAATGCAACAAGACCAAAGCTTGCTACTGATGTTGATTTAAATCAAGTGGGATATAATGATAAATGTGAAGGTTATACTGGTGCAGACTTAGCAGCTTTAATAAAGGAAGCTGGCATGGAAGCATTGAAGGAAATAATAGCTGGTTATGGACGATCAGAAATTTCTATGCAGCACATTTATCGGGCATTTGATAAAGTGCAACCATCTGTTCGCGACAAGGCGAGTATTTATTTGATTTATATGTTTCAACATATTTTAGATAATAACACAAATAACAAACGATATATATTTTACAGGATATTAAATATTATGAAAAATTTAGTAAGCTATATTCAGTTAGAAAGAACTCTGAAGTTACACTAATGGAAACGCCAATAGATGCACCAATTGTTGATGTAGTCATGGAACCAATGGAAACATGAGTTACAATTATTAAAAGTTTATGAAATTTGCTAAATAATTCTTCCATTATCAAACACTTTATATAATTTTTACACAAAACAGACAAAAAGTATTCCTTTAATGATGTAGTTTAGTTTCCACATATTGACAATTCGTAAATATACGTAGCTTTAATGTTTAATAATGTAATGATAATCAATGATATTTTAAAATGCACGATTAAGACAAAGAGTTGCATTATGTCGTTATTTTTTAGATACATGAGTATACAAAACATGTACATGTATGACTTTAATGTAACAAGAATCCTTAATAAAATTTTCATCAATAAAAATTTACATTCAATAATATACTCTTTATTACATGCGTAAATTTAATCACACACACATACATAAAAGCATATGTATTTTAAAGTAAAATCCATTTCATGTTATTTGTCTTTAATTTATTTGTATATTCTCTATTAAATATTCTTTAATAACCACAATACACAAATCATTCATACATTCTTAGTTTATTTAATCATATTTGATTCACAGCAATAGTCTATTCCACTAAAATAGAAAACAGATATCGAAAAATTATAAAAGATGTCAATACTATTGATATACTTTGCATAAATCACTTTAAATATTATTTAAACTAAAACTCACTAAACATATCCCAAAACCATATATATGTACGAGAGGATATTTTAAAGGCATAAACGATATGAATAGTCTATTATATACAAATTATTTGTTATTAATTTTCTGTGATAATTATTGCATACAGAATTGTGACAAATTTATATAATATGATTTATGCAATTATGTGCTGTATTATATAATTATATTTTACTCATGTCTTTTCCTGTTTACGGTTTTTTACAATCCAAGGATGCTTAAGAACACCATCCATATCTAATCTTTTTTCTGGCTCAATAACTATTAGCTGAAATATAATTGGTTTTGAATTAAGTTCTAAAATAATATATATATATACTATCAATATTTAAATTTTACTTATTAAACTTACCTTTGAAATTAAATCTCTTGCATCTTCGCTAACAAAGCTTGGAAATGTGTATCGCAATTTTTTTATGTTCACATAAGTTTCATCATTAGTTGTTGCATAGAAAGGAGGCTTACCAACCAAGCATTCATAACATAATACTCCAACACTCCAAAAGTCAACAGTGTGATTATGTGTTTTGCCAGATACCATTTCAGGTGGTAAATAATCTAAAGTGCCACATAAAGTGTCTCGTCGAGAGGAAGGAGCATGCACAGACCATCCAAAGTCGGCTACTTTTATTTCGCCATTTAATCCAAGGAGTAAATTTTCTGGTTTAATGTCACGGTGAATAACACTCTTACTATGACAATATTTTAACGCATCTGCTAATTGAGCTATATAATTCGCTGTTCTAAAAGTTTTTTTAAAGTTGATTAATTTTAATTGCTTATATAAAATAATTTTTCAATAAACACCTACCTTACTTCATCAAATCGTTTATTAGGTTGATTATTTAGTTCTTTATATAGCTCTCCTTTTGGAGCATATTCTAATATTAAATAAATTCGTTTATCATCATAGAAATATCCATACATCCTCAAAATATTTGGATGCCTGTGAAAAATAAGATCCATGTCGAATATTACTTTTATTTTATCTAACTCATTACATGTATGCATATATATATATCCTTCAATATAATAGATAATCGATAAAAAGTAATACCTTAAATGGGTTTGAATTTCTATCTCTCTTATTACTTGATGCGTAATATTCGCATCTGATATTTGGGATCTAAAAAGCACCTTCATGGCTATTATAAATCTTGTTCTTTTTTCTCTGGCTAAATATACATTACCAAATTTTCCCTTGCCTAAAGGTCGACCAATATCAAAATCTGTCAATACCCATCTCTTCTCTTTTTGATTTTCTGTATTTGTATTAGCTATATCTGAACTGGAAACTTTCTGAACATCATCACTTTTGTTATCCCTTATTTCTTTGCTATGTTCATTATTAGATTTTTGTTGGTCTTGGATAGAGTTGATTGATTTAGGTGCAATTGCTAATTTAGGTGGTGGCATTAATTCTACAGATTTTTTCACAATATTATTTTTTTCTAAGTCTGTAGTTTTTGTTGAGCTAATTTCACAGATCTTTTTCTTGTCATTATTTGCATTTTCCATATTTTTTAAAATATTATATGTTGGAGCTGCTTTGGAAATATGCAAACTTTTAAAACTGCTGCCTTTCAATACTTGTGTAGTTAACTGATGTGTCTTATTTTCTTTGTCCATTTCAAGTTTTCTGTCTATTTTTCACAGTCGATATTTTTTATCCCAGATCTATAATAAAAATAAGGCCATGAATATTTTGCAGTAATTTATACTTCAGAGAAAAATTATATTATAATTCGTGAAATATATATGTACATACCGTGCTGTATCATTTAACTTTTATCGTGTATTTAAGTTTTATAAACGTCAATGTAATATCATATACACACGAAGCTTATATTTATTTTTAATAATAAAATATTATATTTTTCATATAAATGATTGTCTAAGAATTCAATTTAAATAATTATCTAAGAATAAAAATATACGATGTTTAAAAAGTCTTCACTTTTAACGAAATGATTGTCAATGTTGGAAGTTGGAAGGTTCCTCAACCTCTCCTCAAACGGTTTTTCGAAATCAAACTGAAGATTGAACCGAATGCTCTTCGTTGATTGGCCAATGCGAATACGTCACATTTAACAACGAAAATATAGATAAGAGACTCCACTAATTTTATATCGAACGCAGATAAAATATTCTTGACTAAGGCCGGTATTCATAGTCAGTTCTTATTTCAAGACCGTCTTAAGTAATGTCTTAAGATGCTAATACGGCTCTGTGATTGGTTTAGGAAGCCCGTATCAGACTACGCATTGAAAATTGAGATTGAAGATTGAAGATTGAAATTTGACCAATCAGGACAAAGAAATTTTAGTTTCTTTTTTTCTGATTAGTCAAATTCCAATCTTTAATTTTCAATCTTCAAGTTTTAATGCGTAGTCTGATACGGGTTTTACTCCTACAGCCTTGTTACTGTCATTGTAGAATGCCCTTAAGGCTTAGGGCTTAAATCACCTATTGTAGATCCGGACTTAAAATTGTGCTTAAGACGGTCTTAAATATAAGAACTCGCTAGTGTGATTCGGGCTTCAGATGCATCACGCTCTATTATATTCGGCAAGGACTGCGTTCCGATATTCACTGCCAGTACTGAACATCTATAGTTTACATCACGTACACTATAGATTTTCAATACTGGCAGTGAATATCGGAACGCAGCCAAGATAGTAGTAACAACATGGCGCAGCCAATTAGATTCGCAATATCGTTTTTCTGTTTGTGGATACTAAAAATCATATTCTCATCAGTTATTTTCCAATCTTCCATGCGAAAAGAAAATTTACACATACACATTGTAACATAACTGATATCTCATGATACAGATAAGAAATTTTATAAAATTAATATAAACAGTTGTGAATCTTTTTTCTATAAATGTTTATTGTTTATATTTGAATTAACACAATGTTTTGCAAGATATAATAAATATATGTATAATAAGAAATTATCTATTTCACTTAATGTGTGTGTGTGTGTGTGTGTCTTAATATTTATTCAATACAATACAATCCATTACTCTGATTGTATGGGGGAAACAATCACATAATAGTCTTCAATTAATGTATTTTATATAACATACATAATACATATAATTTTTTTTAATGAAAAGAAGAGAGAATTTACTGCCACAATAAGCTGAAAAAAACAAAGTGTTAGAAAATATATTGTTCTTAAAAGTATAATTCTTTGAAAAGAAACAGTTCTGTAAAAAATTCTGTTTCCGAGTTACTTACTTCATAAGAGTTAATTCAGGCATGCCTGGGTCTGCACCTTTTCTGAATCCTAAAAATGAAATTTTTCTTAACTTTCAATATCTTGCTATATATATTTGAGATGTGTGTGATGTTATATAAAATTTAGAAACTAACCTAAAAAGAGGACGGCGGGAATAAAGCCCCACTGAAACACAAATTTGCTTACGTCCAAAACAATGGCTATTCTTTGTTTTGTGGTCGGATTTAAACTCATTTTGTCACTTTTTTGTCTTCTTAGTATTGCAATCGGTATTTCGTATATTCGTGCTAAATAATTGTCGTGAAATTTTTATCTTGCAGTAATTGATCAACGAGGTTAAGAGCGACTAAAGAAACCACGAGGACCTCTCGCGTCAAATCGTAAACTATAAGATCTGCATTTTTCATTCAAAAAATACATAAAGAGAATTGTATTATAATTATACTCATGATTAACGTTTTTCTCTTATGCAGGAAGACGGAATAAAATTTTAGGAGACAAAATATATAAAAATTTCATTATACATTGATATAAAATGTAAGATGATAAAATAATGTATTGTAGTATTGATAATACATAGTTAATATAAGGTATACCGAATTTTGTACAACTTATACTAATATTAATGATCTATTATAATAAGTTCGTCAATGCCCCAATCTTCATAACTGTTATCAGGCAGGTAGCGACGTATAATTATGGGAATTTTTCGTTGCTTTAATTCCTTCATTGCAATTTGCAGCGGATCAGTTTCCCCTTCTAATTCTACCATTACAGGAGCACACATTGCTATTTGTAACGCTCTTGTGCCTAAAACTCTTGCCCTTTCATATCTGTAAAATAAAAATTTAATATATCGCTAAAGTTATTTATATTTTCACTCTATGCAAATAATATATCATATATAATACACATACTTTGTCATATATCTTGTTGTTATCCTTTTTGACTTTTGAACACCAGCAGTAGCTTCATTAGCATTCAACAATTCGATATTTTCACCATCATCTTCTTGGGGCTCTAATTCGATGTTGTCCTCGTCGTCTACATCATCGAAATCATCTGCGACCCTACAAATAATAAGATTAACCGGAATAATATTAATTATATATATAAACTATACAGAGAAACTATTAATTCAATAATTTTCAACTACTTGTTTTTTAGTTCAACCTATTGTTTTTAGTTTACAACAAGAATAGCACATAAATTATAAAAAAAATTCGTCTGCATAATGAGTGATATTAATGAAATGCAAAATAACCTATAAAATGTATATTCCTATATACCAACATGCATATGCTTCTGTATGTATATACGTCAAAGAAACTGGCATTATACTTACTCGTCTCCATCAAAATCATCAGCCATTTTTTATTTAGCATATATACAAGCCACAGATACACTACTACCGCGTCGCTTGATATTGGATCATTCACGTTGGCAGAGAAATAAACGTGTATTTTCTATACAAAAATTCCGGTTTCATATTTATGAATATATATATACCTGATAAATCCTCCATTAGCATGCATTCATATAGCGTTTTCGAATGAACGGATTTTAATCCATCCCGAATCAATTAATCACTATTTTACTATGAATTCAAGTCTTTTATTGGCAAAAACAATGCAATGACGTCATTAATAAATCTTGGGTCAATCAAACCTGTTTCATTCGAAAACGCTAAGTGCCGGTCTACAATAGTGATTTAAGCTCTAAGCCTTAAGAAATTGACCAATCACAATCAAGTATGAGGAGAATACTCGACTGTGATTAGTCAATTTCTTAAGGCTTAGGGCTTAAATCTACTGTAGACCGGCACTTAGCGTTTTCGAATGAAACAGATTTGATCGACCCAAGATTTATTAATGACGTCATTGTATTGTTTTTGCCAATAAAAGACTTGAATTCATAGTAAAATAGTGATTAATTGATCCGGGATGGATTAAAATCCGTTCATTCGAAAACGCTATATAAATGCACGCTAATGGAGGATTTATACTGCGTCCGATTTCTGATGTACAATGTCCGATATCCAATAGGAGTTTGTTTTATATAAAACAAACTTTCTTATTGGATATCGGATATCTGACATCATACATCGGAAATCGGATGCAGTGTGAATTCTTCATTATAGACGCATGCGCATTACGCAAAAGGTGATTTAATACTTTGACAGTCAAATCACCTATTGTGGACCGGCACTAATAGTTTGACGCTACAAAAGCTTTGAATGATTTTAATTGGCTAAAGCCCGTATCAGAGATTACGTAAATTGAGATTGCAGATTGGAATTTGATCGGAACAAAGAAATTTTAGCTCCTTTTGTTCTGATTAGACAAATTTCAATTTTTTAATCTTTAATTTTCAATGCGTAGTCTGATACGGGGTTTTAAAAATTCTTTCATCCTGATTGGTCAATCAAACGCTTCGAAATTTTTGTCTCGTCCAATGGAGCGTAGCTATGCCGCCATTATGAATCCCTGCGGCGGCATTGAAAGCGTCTTGCCAAGTAGAGGTTATGGTTGATACGTGTATCGTAAAAGTCACAAGAATAAATGTTCATGTTGTCGTTAAATAGACATATACTCACTTTCCTTGAGTTATTTTTGTAAGGAAGTCACGGGGTGAGTATTTACTCATTTATGGATGATACAGTATTTAAGATAGAAGATTTGCTGTATTAGTATTAGTTGCCGTTACTATCGGGCAATAATATTTAATAATATCAAGAGAAGAAAGAAAAGAGAAGTCATATTATAAGTTAACACTTATAAACGTTATTCTCTTAAAGAAATCCTACAATCTTCAAGATGTCTGGAGGTATGCTTTATGGTGGAGATGAGATAGGAGCATTAGTCTTTGATTTGGGCCATCATTCCTTAAGAGTGGGCTATGCTCAGGAAGATACCCCAAAGGCAGAAATCCCAGCTGTTGTTGGTATTGGAGAAGATGCCAATGGTACAGTTACTAAGAACGAGCCTATGGATATCGATGATAAGAAGCCTGATAACAATATCACGCAAAGCGGAACCAAATATTACATCGATACCACAATTCTTCATGTTCCACGGAAAAATATGGAGATTGCGAATTATATGAAAGATGGTATGATTGAAGATTGGGATCATTTTGAAAAGGTAGGAAATGAGTAATACTTGATATAAAATTTAAGTGTTATATGCATTAAATTTTTCATATTGAAGATACTTAGCTGTATATATTTACCTCTCTTTTAGGTTTTAGATTATACATATTCAAAAATAATCCAATCTGATGCTGAATATCATCCTGTATTATTCTCTGAATCACCGTGGAATATGCGCAGCAAGAGGGAAAAGCTAACCGAATTAATGTTTGAAAAATACAATGTACCAGCTTATTTTCTTGTGAAGAATGCAGTTCTAGCTGCATTTGCAAATGGCAGAGCAACTGGTATTGTTGTTGATAGTGGTGCTACACATACTTCTGCAGTACCTGTGCAAGATGGATTTGTATTGACACAAGCTATTGTTAAATCTCCCCTTGGCGGAGATTATATAAGTATGCAATGCAGACAGTTCTTACAGGTATATGAATATGTGTATTTAAATACTTTCAAATCTTCTTCATTTTACTTATCTCAATTAAATGCAGGACAATGATATCGATTTATCTCCCCCTTATATGGTGGGTAGCAAAGAGGTAGTCAAGGATCATGATAAACCACGATGGGTTAAAAAGAAAGGTTTACCTGAAGTCACTAAGTCTTGGCATAATTACATGGTGAAGAAAGTAATTCAGGATTTTCAGGCCACAGTTCTCCAGATATCAGAAACGCCATATGATGAGAAAATTGTTTCTACAATTCCTGCAGTACAATATGAATTCCCTATTGGATATCATCAGGTATATATATATCTTAAATAATGTTTCTCCGACTTTATATAAAATTGTATCTGGTTAATAAAACAAGAGATGACCAAAATAAAAATTTTGAAGGACTTTGGAAGTGAAAGATTTCGAATACCAGAAGCGTTATTTGATCCTAGCATGGTACAGATGCGCGGAGGTATGGTTGGTAATACTATGTTGGGAGTAGGGCATATTGTCACGACCAGTGTTGGCATGTGCGACGTTGATGTACGACCTGCGCTTTATGGGAGTGTTGTGGTAACTGGTGGCAATTCGTTTATTCAGGTACAATTTTAATAAATAGGATATTAGTTATAAATAATTTTGTTGTTGCATATACCAATAGATCATTGTTTCATATAGGGTTTTCCGGAGCGCTTGAATAGAGATTTGTCCATGAGAATACCTTCTAGCATGCGTCTCAAATTGATTAGCGCGAACGGTTGCGCGGAAAGGAGATTTGGAGCTTGGATAGGTGGTTCAATTTTGGCATCGATCGGTACTTTCCAACAAATGTGGATCTCCAGTCAGGAATATGAAGAGAGCGGAAAGAGTCAAGTAGAAAGAAAATGTCCTTAAACCGTGATACTTCGTTGTATGTTTTCATCGAGTCATATTAGAGCGTCAGATTTGTACAGAGAAACATTGCACAGAGAGTGAGTACAATTTTCGGGACACAAAAACCTACATTCTATGATATTGTGTGTGCATTGTTTTATTATTCATAAAGAATATGAGATCATAAAACATCTTTTTACATAAAATTACTTTTTATAATGTTATATTATGGTAACAAATATACTTGTGATGTTATATCAAATTATAATGTCTACTATAGCATTTGCGCATGCAATACATATAGATAAGTATATTATAAATGATATTACACTTTATGTTCCAAATTATGCTATAAGCAAATGAAATAGAAAAATTATTATCTTTATTTATTACCGATATGCCCTATGGAAAAACGACGAAATTTTGTAAATTGTAATAAGATTTTTTATAAAACTTACCATAGCAAAGGCTCTGTCTAAACTTGTTATCTGTAATTCCATCAATTTCACCACATTTGCACAATGTCCTGTTAGTCTCACTGCCAGTAATGTTATACGCGTCACGTTTGGAATTGTGGATATTTGATCCCGCTATAACAAATGTTATTACAAGAAAGGAAGTAAAGAGCATATGTTCACCTGAAACGCGCAACTTTCCTTCTATAGTACATACATGTATTTTCCATTGAAATAATAAATAGGTATAAGATGGAAGTACAAAGGAAAAGGAATTTGTCTCTTTTCAAATACCTTAATTAGTAGTTGATCAAAGAAGCATCATTATTTATTAAACTGTATAAGTAAAAAGACATACTGAAGAAAAGTACAATTTGTCTTTGTGTGCCTACAATAATGATAGATGTTGATCTGGCAAATTAGCTATTATTAGGTTTGAAATATTAATGAACATAGGGTAGTTATAAAGCCTACATTTCATGTCTTGCACCTCTGTGTAGATCTTTAATACAGTCACCTACTAATTGGCTCAGTACTAACCAGTAATGTTTGCTAATTGCTTCAATAGAATGAACAATTAATTAAGAAAATTAAAAAAAGTATAGAATGCAAACTGCGAAAGGCCGATAATACTTTTTCAAACATCAAATAATTTATAATGTTCATTTGTAGATCTCTCTAATATTGTTTTTATCGGTATTAGCTAGCATAGATGTCTGATATATAAAGTTCGTGAATATTAGTTTCTTCCAAAATTTTATTTCTGATTATATATCCTTTTAAGTAAAATGGAGAGAAATGTCAATAATTTTGTATTTATTAATAGAAAAGTTTTAAAGTTTGTTGGCCTTTATCCAACGAGTATTGTAAGATATATCATGTGTTGCATGTGTATGTTTGCCATTGTTATACCACAAATAATGCAAATTTATCAAAATTGGAACGATTTGGCTATAGTACTGGAAACGAGGTATGATGTGTTCACGATTCCCCATTATTGACACAAACCAAATTCTACACACACATATGCTATATTGCAATTTGATTATGATTGATTATGATTGATTTGGTTTTAAGAGCAAGATTCAAATCATCTTATTTAATTCATATACATTTTTACAGTTCAGTATTGCTCACTATCTTACTTGCCATATTAAAATCGCTGGTTTGGGTAAGAAACAGAAAGAAAATGGATTTTTTTATAGAATATATGTTAACAGATTATTGGGAAATAATGACGGCACATGTTTCGAAACATGCAAATGTATATGCAATGTAAATAAAATTTTTTCCAAATTACATACATAACAGATGCACTTAAGTGTAGCGCAACACACGTATTATTTATGCGCGCGCGTGTACTAGTTATTCACTACTACTTATTATTCATAGATATGTGAAAAAAGGATCTTTATATACTAAAGGATATTTATTCTTAATTTGTAATTCTTTAGTATTTTTCTTCAGTCTACCTATAATTGAGATATTTGTTACTATGATCAAAAATACCAATGATAATAATAGTACAAAGCATTTTCCATTCATAGCTTTATATCCAGAAAATTATTATAATTTTCCAATGTATGAGGTAAGAGATATACCTTTTCCGGTTTATCGAACTATTGAGGATGTGTGATAATATCCTGTGTACATATCCTGTTTACATAGATTATTTATCTTTCGCAAATGGTAGCAACAAGCTTATGTGGCCTTGTTATTCTGGGAACTGATACTTTAATTGCAACAGCACTATTTCACACATGTGGACATTTTAAAGTACTTCATGAAAAGATAGAAAATATGGACACTGAAATTGATCTCGTTAGTATCTATTTCAAAAGCCTTCCATATCATTATAAATACGTTTGGAACAGCTAATATTATGTATTAATAGTTTTTTCTCTTATTTCCAGATGCAACATGTATACATTGAAGAAAGTATTGTGCAAAAAATTAAATTACAAATAATAGATCTTATTAAACATCATCATGTGGTCCTTTGGTATATAATAATTTTAAATTGTTATTTTGATATACAATATGATTATAAAGTAAAATATCATAATATTACATCTAGGTTTTGTGATTATATGGAAACAATTTTTAGTCCAATGTTATTTCTACAAACAGTAGCTAGCAGTCTCATAATCTGTCTAGTAGGTCTTCAAATTGCGACTGCAAGTATAACTACAAGTATAATTTCTAAATCGATTAAATATATCTCGTATTTAATCATGGCACTTTTTCAATTGCTGCTTTTTTGTATTCCTGGTGATGCTTTGATATATGAGGTGTGTGGATAGTGGACAGTGAAATAAAATTAGTATCTTATAAAGATAATATATATAGATATTTTTTTATCACAGAGTTCTATGATCAGTAGAACTATATATACAATTGCTTGGTATGAATTGCCGATTTCATTTAAAACTGAAATATGTTTACTTATGTTGCGTAGTCAAAAATCTAGTAAGATTACTGCAGGAAAATTTTATGTAATGCATTTGGAAAATTTTAATGCGGTAAGTAGAAATTATCTCATTATTATATTAGAAAATGTATGAGAATTATGTGATTTCTATATGTAAACAAAAAAATATTTTAATTTTTCTTCTGATTTATAGGTGTTGAGCACTGCTGTCTCATACTTTATGCTGCTTCGAAGTTTTAGCTCAGATGAAACTAATGTCAAACTATAATTGAATAAAATTGTGTGTAGATTATTGATTAAGATATTAAAATATTTAGAAAAGATAATAATAATAATTCAAAATTATATGTAGAAGTTCTGACAATATAGCACGTGACTAGTACAATACTGTACATTACATTATTGTACATTATTCTATCCTATTGGTATAAAATGCTGTGAGTATTTCTGTCACTCTTGATATTCTATACCACTTGTTATAAATATGCACCCCAACCAAAATACATTTGGCACAGATTATCTATATTTGTCGCTTCTAAAATCAAATGATTAGTTTGTCCTTCAACACTAAGATGTAATGCAATATTTTCTGCCTTCCTTCCAGGATAACGAATCAAGCCTTTTAATCGTTGTTCAATGTTCTTTATATGTTCTACAGCCTAAAATACATAAAAATAAATGTATTGTTCTTATTCCTTGCACAATTTGACATAAGAGAAGAGTATTTTTATACTTTTTCATTTGTTTTTTCAGCTGCATCACCAGGTTGATTCCTATTCCAACTGACAAGAGGATCATAGACGAAAGGTGTGAGTACACTCAGTAATGTGCTCGATTCTTGCCGAAGTACTCGCATGGTAATTTGGCAAGCGCGTCTGAATGGTCCTTCAATTTTAAGGGGACCCATAGCGTTTACCATATTATGTGTCAAGCGAAATGGTATACGTTCAGGCCAATCAAAAAGTTCGCCCTAAGAATATATATTATAATGTATTATTTGATAGGACGAAATGCAACAATAACATGTTGATACATATATGTAATAATAAAAATATAATATACAAGAGAGATTTATAAGTTGAACACGTTATGATTTGTTCTCCGAACTTTCATTAGTTATGAGAACTATTTACCCTGTTGAATAAGCAGTTAAAATCAACATGTACACAGTCTCCACATTTAGAATCAAATAATATATTCTCTCCGTGACGGTCTCCAAGTCCAAGTATGTAACCCACCATGGACATAACAGCGGTTGTTCTAATATATGCAGTACGAGCCTCATACCTTTTTTAAAAGTTAAATAATTAATATTTACACATGTAAAAAATTACGAGAGCAAAATGTATTAGGATAGTAATAGAATATATTTTACTGACATACCATCCATATGGATCAGGAAACATAATGCGAAACCAATCAGCAAACACAGGAGGATGCCGTGGCAATAGTTTGTCTAGAAACATTTGTTTCTTCTTTTCTAATGAATCCTTCAAAGCTAATAAAAAAATTTAAACACGAGATGAGATAATGTTTTTAAAATTAAATTTTAAATATTCTTAGTAATCAAATTATCATAACTTACAACATAACATTGTTTTAAGTTCTTTATTTGTACATCTTTCCCTATACAAATTCATAATAGTAGGTCGAAAACCAACCAAGTTTGGTACCCATTCTATTAAACCACATTCTTCGTTTAATGGCACCACACTCTGCAAATCGAGAATAATTAATGATTTATTCAAAATCGAATATGAATCGAATATGTATCAGGGACAGATCTTACATATGTTCGTATGTAGAGCCTCCTTTGTCGTGATTCTCGGTCATTTTGAAGATACTTATTTACGATATCATTGAATTCCATCAATCTGAAATCTTTGCGTAAATCGTCTTTTGGTTTGCACATGAACAGATATTCTTTACCATCCGATCCTCTCAATGCAATTCGTCGCGGTCGTTGAAGCGACGGCATTATTACCACGTTTTCTTCTATTTTCGTGATATGTACCCATCTCCTGCATATATGTTATAAAAGATAATGTGAAATATATCATATTACAATAAAAATAATATTTTGATAATAATTGCGATATGTACAATAGGAATGGATTATGATTTTCAATTGAAGTATTCTTAGATGGAAGATGTAGTTGCCTAAACTTTGTTGTTGGCATCATAATTGGACTGAAATCTTTACTTGCGAGTAATCTCGGCAAATTTTTTGACAAGTGATTCACTGTGGTATTTAACATCCCCTATTGTAAAAAAATAAGAAGTGTATTAGTAGATTATACACATTATTAATTCATGATATATCCTGTCATATATACTATTCCATTATAACTCTAATCTTGCACATATTACGATTGAATAACGAAACTTACGTCTGGTATTGTTTTATTAGATAATTCAATCAATCTTTCCCAAAGTCTGTGAAAGTCTTTGATAAGCTTAGACATCGCCGGTGTTTTCAATTGTGCATGATTTAAGATTTCCTGACATCGTTTCTGTCGCGCCGGGTATGAAGACTACAAAATTAACAAAAGAGCAGATTCTATATATTTCTATTTATCTTATAAAATAGTGTGTAATATTATTAATATTAATAAAATATACGTTAAAAACTGATGCCATCATCCATAAGCAATGCTGAGGATATGCAGAAATTAATTTCACCAAAATTGTGCAAAGAGTATTTTGCACTTGCAGACATGGATGACAAATTCGCGATACAAGCTGGCTGAATGCCGTCAGCCACATGAAAGTCGGTAATCTATGATGATAGACATCTGCAACATGAAAACTGATTATTATCATAAATCGATCTTTTATTATTAATTCATAAATAGATACCCATAATCTGAGTCATCTTTATTAGACGATCTTGACGGAGTCTAACAATATCTGCTGGGTCGGAAGTAATCGTAGCACGAGAAGCATGATCCAACCAGATGGTCAACATCTTAGGCATTGAATGGTGAATGTATTTGCAACCATATTGAAGCGATTTGCCATAAAAGTTCATCATATGCACTTGCAGATCTCTGTTAATAATAAGTATAATTTCAATCATAATTCTAATTTCAATATCATGACAAAATGAAGTTATATTGAAGCAAACTTACTGTCTGTTTCTATCTTTGTCTTCTTCAGACATTCTCTCAACGATAGTGTCATAATATTGAGCGCATAATACCCAACTTTTTTCCCATCCTCTCCATACTTCTATCGCTTCTTTGTAATTAATGATACAACCATCTGTATCAACATTGAGAGTTTCATCGTTATATTTCGCAAAAAGAAGTTTTGCCTGTGAAACACACAAATATAAATATAAAACAATTATAAATATTATATTTCTTGATAATTAATAATTTTGTGTTTTAGCATTACAAACCTTTGCATATTGTTTTCTTTCTTCATTACAATCTCCTGAAGATAATTGCTTGTAATATTGTGCTGGTTTGAAATAATTTAAAAAACTACGATTTAAAGTAATGAAAGCATTCTCTTGACAACCCTTTTGCCAATATAGTTGAGCTTGTTCTATATACAATGGTTGTGGTGGACATGTATCACTAGCTGATAAAATATGCATATATGCTTGTTGATGCAAGCCAGCCCTAATGTAAAAAAATTTAATTAACATAAAAATTATATTTAAAGCCAAAGAGTCATACATATATATATATACATACATAAAATACATACTTTCTAGCAATTTTGGCGCTTTTCAACCAAATTTTACCAATTTCTTGCTTAAGCATCGAATTCTCTGTATTGTGAATTTTGTGTTGTAATTGCACAGCTAAATCCAAAGTAGCTCTACGCATACTCAGGACAAATTCTAGACCACGAGATGCCCTCAATAATTGTCCGCGTTCTTCCCATTCTTCCAGCATTGCTGGAAGACCTTCTGCATTGTTTAGCATCATTGAAACTGCTTTGTCAAATTCATTCAATATATGTAATCTGGAAATGATATGACAAGAACATTATAATGCATATGTGTCTGCGTGTGTGTGTGTGTGTGAAAAAGAAAGAATATAGAAATAATTTTATATATATA